TTGTTTTGCTGATTTTTAAGATCTTGTAATACTTTTTAAGTCTTTGTTTTATGACTGCATCATTATTTTATGTAGATAAATGAAATGTATCAGCCCAAAGGCGTTCCAGGTTCAAGCTTAGCCCACAACAATGCAGCAGTGCATAGTCAGTCATTAGACTGTGATGACGGCTCAATGGATCCGACCAGTGGAGGCAATAACATCAACAATCCTAGTCTTGCTTCAAAGCAACGTCTGCGTTGGACCAATGAGCTTCATGAACGATTTGTTGATGCTGTCGCACAACTTGGTGGCCCGGATAGTAAGTTTCTGGACTTCCACTNNCCCCCCCCCACCCCCCCACCCCCACCTGTGGACCATGGCGGCTATGTTGGTCTGGCTTGGGATGCCTGTCTTTTGAATAGTCCTTTAGGAGCATTATAGTCGGGACTCAGGTGCATGAAGACACGTGCTTGCAAGCCAGGGACGGATCTATGTAGAGGTGAAGGGGTAGTACGCCACCCGGTCTCTCGGTTAGAATTTCTTGTACGGGATGGTGTTTCACTAGTATTTGACATAGAAAAGGTATATAAATAATTAGTGGCACCCTTAGTCACTAAATGGCTGTAGGTGCCATGGTCAAAGTAGCCCTTCCCAAGATCGATCCTCCATCCCCTCATATTGAGCCAATTTTACTTTTTATGTTCCTTCTTTCCAGATTGTTTTCTTTTCTTCTCTTTTTCTTAACTTCTTTTATCTTCATTTTTATATTTTCTCTCAATATACAATCTCATCTTTATTAGTTCTTGAGATTATAAAAGCATATTTGTCTATGTTTTCTTGTTCTAGATCTTAAATTTTTTTATTTGAATATGTTTTTAACCATTTTTCTTTTTTATCTAGTTAATATTATTTTTTTCCTTGAAAGGATCAAATATATTCAGTTTCATTATCATGTGTTTATTTATGCACCAAAAAATCTTGTAAAGCAAGCTAAATTAATTCAAAATGGATCGAACCAAATCGAACCGAATTAATTTAAAATATAACGAACCGGCCAAATGCATGTATACCCAAATTCAACCTCTTCGACTACTGATAAGTTTACGTTAAATACAGTGGCACCCGTAACCATCAAATCCTGGATCCGCCTCTGATGCAAGCACACAAATATCATAAATAACCGAGTGTAGATGACCACGTAAATGCAATCATGCCCCCAAAATTGGGCGGCCAACTTTCACTTGACCCTAGTACTGGTTATTTTTCTATATAATTGTTCAAACCTTAGCTTTATGCGACATATCAGGGAAAAAAGAAAGACAGTTTTATTAAAATCTTTGCAATTGGAGATATGTAATTGAACTTTGGTAAGTCTGCAAGCTGCCGTAAGTTTCATTTTGTATATTTATATAATCTATGATATTCCATCCAATGTTATCAAAGGCGAAAAGCACAAAAGAACTCTAAGCGCAAAGTGCAAATAAAGCGTGGGCTCTAAAGAAGAAAGACGCAAATAGAGAAAAACTACAACTATGTATGTGTAGTCCAAGACTAATATCTATATGCATGAATACCGAATATATTGACAAAGAAATTGAAGAGAATTTACGATAAAGTGAAATATCAATTGTTTAGTTCCGCGTCTTCAGGATTACACTTCTTGGCAAGGAAAAGTATGCCTTAGAGCCTTGATGACAACACTGAAGCGCCCGTTAAGTGAAGCGAAGCGCTCAACATAATTTGAGCCTCGTTTTAGGGCTTAAAGGCGCTTTAAGCGCGCCTTTGATAACGTTGATTCCATCAGTTAATCATTAAATTATCTAGATTTGGCAACTAATACACCTTCTTCCTAATTAATATTACACTTCTTCAATTTTGAATGTCCCAAAATGTCTGATAATTTAACTAAAAATATTACTACTTTATACAACTACTTCAAGCTTCTAAAATTCATATTTACTTAAGTAAATCAATATTAAGCTTTAATGCGACTATTTCTCTTTCAAACTAATTTTTCTACTGTTACATAACATTTATTTCATTGTAAACTACTACTAAGTCCACCTGTCTTATCCTCCATGCCAGTCAAAAGATGTTACATAAAAGGACGGAAGGAGTAATAATTCTTTGAGGTGTGAACTGAAGTATCCAGTATCCTTGTGTTTACTGATTTATTATACTCTTCTGAGATTCTTTTCTCTGGTTCAGGAGCTACACCGAAAGGCGTTCTTAGAGTCATGGGTGTACAAGGCCTAACCATTTACCATGTAAAAAGCCATTTACAGGTATCATTCACCATGTTTTATTTGTACAACTTATCCTTCGGAGATGTGTGCTTGAATTATTCTTTTATGGTAACTGACTTTCGTTTATTTTTCTGTTGGCTCAGAAATATCGACTTGCTAAATATCTTCCAGATTCCTCATCTGATGGTACGCTGTGATAGAATTCAAAATCTTCATGGTTGTGTACTCCTTATATTTTGAACCTAACTTGATTAATCGAGGATGTGATGAAGTTGGTTCTACTCCAGTTATGCCAACAAACTAATGTGCTTTTGTCTTGTGATTGCAAGGGAAAAAACCTGATAAGAAAGAATCGAGGGATATGCTATCAAGTTTGGATGGTTCATCGTGAGTAGATTTTCCCTTGTTGCTTGTGTAGATCTCTTCTGAATGCATGAACTTGGAATGTATCTACACTAGTCTTGTATTCTAAAATGTCCTTGTTTTTTCTCAAAAAACTAAGTGGTTTGTATATTTAAGGATCTTAAATATTTGACCCGAGAGAGAATTGCTTGTTAACAGAGGAGTGGAAATCACTACGGCTCTAAAGCTGCAGATGGAGGTGCAAAAGCGACTGCACGAGCAACTGGAGGTATGCTCTTTTAATGCTTTTTGTATAATTGGTATGGATATAGTCCTTAGGGAGCATTTAATTGACAGGTAAAGGAATGTGGAGAAGAACCTATTTTTGCTGCTTCTGTAGCAGGAGTGTTCCTTCTCTTTTCCTTAGCAAAATAATAAGCAAATGCTAACCATTGGCTTCATAATTTTTGCTGTAACCTTTTGTTTTCAGTATACCGCTTCAACAGAGACCTGCAAGAATATCTTTTGCTCATTTGCTTACCTTGTCTCAAGAAAATTAAAATGTATCTGAGTGTGTTGAGTCTCTTAAAATATGGGTTTATATCCAACCGATTAAAAAAAAATGTGGGCTTATATCCGTGCGAGTCATGAGAGGGAGCAACTGTACAAGGGTGATATGCCTAATCTTTGCATTGTATATGAAGTGGTATAATGTACCGAAAATATACCCACTTTCCTTTGTTTTCTAGTGGTGGAGGTTCTAACCCTTCTGTTATGTCAAGGGTTAAAAGCTATTATGAGTGTGAGAATGCACGGGAGAAAATTATATTATTAATAAAGATACAATGACCTCTATATATAATACATATTCTACTCCTACTACATATGGGACTAGGACATATTCTACTCCTACTACATATGGGACTAAGACTATTTACACATAACTATCTAACAGTGAGAACGAGGAATAACACAAAAATTGTGTAGAAAGGTTTTTTTTTGGGGGGGCAATAGGTTGACATTATTCTATATTAGAAGATCAAAATTCCCATATCTATAATCTATGACCATTTTTGAGCATATTGTTAGGACATGCTCATGGACACGAGTTACGGCTACTAAACAAAGTGGCCATACGATATAGGCTAACTTAATTCTGCCTTTGTGAAATCAATTGAAATTTACTTGGTATAATCAATTCCGTTTCTACTTTACTTCCCCTGAGTTTGGAAAGCATGCTTTCCTGCATGACAGACTACTGTTATCTAGTCCTGCAAAAGTTTCAGGCTTGTGAAAGTGGTAACAGCCCCCTTTTTCCTGCTTTTTAACAGGTCCAGAAACAGCTACAACTTAGAATAGAAGCCCAAGGGAAGTATTTGAAGAAGATAATCGAAGAGCAGCAGCGGCTCAGTGGAGTTCTTTCAGAAGTTCCTGGTTCTGGGGTCGTTGCTCCTCCAACTGGTGACAATGGCCCAGAATCTGATAATAGGAGTGATCCAGGGACTCCTGCACCAACATCTGAGTCCCCGAATGTTGAGAAGCATGTAAAAGCACATGCCCCAACCAAGAGCCTTTCTGTGGACGAATCATTCTCCTTGCAGCATGAGCCTCTCACTCCAGATTCTGATTGCCCAGAGTCGTCGCCAATGGAGAGCCCTAACGGCGAGAGGTCATCGAAGAAACAAAGAGTGGGCATAAGTGCAGCTTTTGCAAAAGACAATGAGGCACTTACACATCAGATATTGGAATCAAGCTTGAGCTCACCATACCAGCAACCACCTTCAGTTTTTATGACGAGGGACCAATTTAATCGTACATCAGAATTATCTCTTGGCATCGAGGATCAGAAAGTTTCTGGTAACATGTAGTTATTCGGTGCCCAGCAGACTGCTTGTGCAACATGACTCCGTTTCATCTAGTTTGTGTAATCTCTGATGATATATGTTCTCATTTGGTCACAGATACCGCATGGTTTTTTAATGTAGTTGGTTTAAAATTCTCTCTTTTATCTTCAAGGGTTCAACTATTGCTTTGTGATATAGGGGCTGTTCTGATTTGTTGCTAGATTGAGAGTTCTAACATTTCGCTCCGACTAGTTTGGGCTTGAGGCTAGTTAGTATGCGTTAACTCTTACGTATTAAAAGTTGGTCTTCACAGCTTAGCTCCTTGGTGCTGGACTTCTCATTACCTTCTACTACCAGTTGTATGCAACACCTCAATGTTGCTCTCTTTGTGACTGAATCTGCCGAGTATTATGGGGTAGTGTTGATATTTGGTGTAAATTCCACATGTACCTTTTTTTTATTTTAATGTTTGTGTCATCTCTTTGTAACTCTGCCAATTTGATCTTCACAAATATATTTGATCTCAAGTGCAGATAATGGAGGAGGATTACGGAAGGTGACAACTAGGACAGAAGTAGTCTAACTATGACGAGAAGCTTCACTCAGTAATATAAGATGATCAAACTTTTTTAGCTTAGTAAAAGCTTAACTAGTCAAGGCACAAATTCCATGACACATGAGAGATCACCTGAGGACATAACCTCAGGCCTTATTACATAAATAGTAAATATTTAAGTAGCTAGTCGCCTTCCAACTGAGAATCAACAGCTAATAATCAGTTCCAGTACATATGAGATCACCATTCTCTTTGAAAAGTTTGCAATTTTCAGGTAAAGTGCAACAGTTGTCGCAATAGGATTCAATTAATTTGTGTCGTCCATGGCGAGTTGGGCAAACCATGTAAGCTGCATCGCTAATGCAATCTCGAGGACAAGACTTCTCCTCCTCCGCTGCAGTTGCCATTTTGCTTCCTAGTACATGTGTTCCTACATTGCACCCATATTAATTAGAGGCGGATCCAAGATTTAAACTTTATGGGTTCAATATTTAAGGTTTTTAGCATTGAACCTATTATATTTTTTTAATTATGGGTTCATATTTACTATTTTTTGCCAATTTAATGAATTATTATATATAAATTATACTCCGGATCGAAAGTTATGAGTTCAATTGAACCCGTCACTTTAACATTTCATCCGCCACTGATGTTAACAGTTAAACTTCGGTACATTGACGATGTAAAATTTTCAAATTAGTAATTTGTAACGACGGATAACCCGTCTAGTAAACCTAAATTATATCTTAGAAAATAACATGTTATAACCAGTTAAATATTACTCTCTTCTCATGCGATGAAAGAGGCATCATCACAATATTATTGTAAGAAAAGAGTATATTTTCTCTACATGCTATAAAAATTACTCTCTTCTTACAAAATGTTTCTCACTCTTTTGTTTTGAATATCCAAAATAACTAACATGTGCAGGGAAAGCTTAGAAGTTAGAATACAGTGACTTTGCCAGAAAGTTTAAGCTAGGTGAACAAAATCAGAAAGAAATGTATAATACGTCTTTCAATATTGAAATCACTCACCAAACAGAAGGAGGACAGCAAGGAAACCAACTTTGTGAATAGCCATGCCTTGTCGTGAGTTATTACTTAGTGCATAGGGGATGTTACACTATCAGCCTGTTTATAGCAGATGAATGATCTAAAGAGGGAAAAATAGAAACTCATGAACATGTTATGACTTTGTTTCATTCCAAAAATGTAGGTATTTCTAAAAGGATTTAAGTTATATGCATCAACATTATAAAATTTTGATGCTATTCGTGTAGTTTAGCTGGTCAATTATCATTTTTATCACGTTACTGATTAAGGCTTATCAGTAATTACCTTAGTGATCTGATTGTGTAAATATTCTATCACTGAATAAGACTTGAACTCTTAATAGACCACACGCTTTATATGTTGTAGCAGTGTGTGATATACTGTAACAGTCTGTGATCTTTTACATTAATAAATTAACGAAGTACTCATCGTCCAATTGGAATCTCTATTTGTAATTTGATAAGTCAAATTTAGTTTAGTAAATCTTATGAGGAAGAACTCTTTGTGAGGTTTTAAAAATTGAAATTTTGAAACTTGCTGATTTAAGTGAAAGACCACCAAATTTGGCAGCGCATAATGTGAATGTCTGTCTTTCGGAAAAAGCCTCTCTGCCTTCCCGAATAAAGGTAAGACTGCGTACATTTCACCATCCTTAGATCCCCACTTGTGGGAATTCAATGGATTTAGTTGTTGTTGTTGCATAATGTGAATGTCTGACCTCCATATGTATTGGGTCTCCCTTGTAATGAGAAGTGTTTTGACTCAAGGAATTAGAGAGATTGCTGAGCAAAAGTTTGAAAGACATCGAAAGCCTGTAATAATTCCTCCACAGTATAACATAGGACTGAAACAGTACTCTTAATTGATTGTGATTCTTACAGTGGTGTTTCCACTCAAAATTATTACAGCAATCTGGAAATGCACAGTGACCTAACAATATCCACACATGCTCCTAAACAATATAAGAATGTTTATACAACGAGTGTAATTTAACTTGCTGTAACTATTACCGGATTTATTCTGCATGTTACAATGTTACTAAATACTAATAGCACTTAATTAATGTGAGCAGTTACTTCTATTATTTTTAGGCGACTTAATTAATATAGTGGTAAAACTTTTTCCCACTTTTTAGTGTATACAAAGTTATCTCGACAAGACAAAGCTAGGTTGAAATCCATTTCTTTTTATTTCCCTAACTAGGCATGCATGCGCAGCACTTTCATATCTTTTCATTGAAATAATCCAATATAAGAAAGGTACATTTCCACTTTCACTTGTCAAATTTATCAGGAATTCAGGATGGATGAGATGGTGGGAGACAATGTGGTTGTAGAAGCTAAAACAGTAGATTAGTGCACGTCAATTAAACGTTCATGACTCATGAGATGGTGCGAAGGTGGTTGTATATAGAGTCCGGAACCTAAATGTGTTTCTTTTGGACTCAAAACACTTTTTTAAGTGTAAAAAAAAGTTATATTTTTAGCAAACCGCGTTTTATATAGTAGCTGAAAAGACAAGTATATAAAGCGCGGTTCATTACCGCATTTTATATAAAGCGCGGTAATGAACCGCGTTTTACATGTTTAGTGGGCCCACCAATAACTCTTCTGCGCTTAACTGACATAACAATAATTCAAATATGTAAAACGCCCTTTTAAACCGCGTTTTACTTCCAAAAATTTGACCCACCGGATTGGGCATTGCCTTATATAAAGGCGTTAAGGGTTTTGAGAATTATCATTCAGAAATACTCCAACTTCGTGATAAATTTTTCTTGTTGTTAAATTCTCAAGCTTTTTTCATAATGTCTGAAGAGCGAAAAGTAAGGGTTTCATTATATTGGAGGGGGGGAGGGGGGAGGGGGGGAGGTGAGGTTGTGATGGCGAATAACTCAGTGAGCTATAGTTTATCTCCACAGAGTCATGTTAAGTTGCCACTTACAATGGAGTACGATAGATTGGTATCGTTGTTATGCAATAAAATGAGATTGAGCAAACGTTCGGTGAATCTTAAAATAACCGGAAGATATTCGTATTTTGTGACTCCGCAAGGGGTTGCTTGTTATGCTGAGTTTAACATCGAAGACGATGAAACTCTTAGAGATTTTTTGGGGACTCCGGATTATTACAGGGAATTTATTGTGATAAAATTGTTGAAAATGTACGTCAAGACTGAAGACGTTCGCAATAATGTACGTCAGTGAGCCTAGGGGTGGGCATTCGGTATTTCGGTTCGGTATTTAATAATTTCGGTTCGGTATTTCGGTATTCGGTTTATCAATTATGTATACCAAATACCATACCAAAATATTTCGGTACGGTTCGGTTTTTCTTATTTTGGTTCGGTACGGTTTCGGTACGGTTTCGGTTTAATAATCGCTAAATAATCAATGCTAGCTAACGCCTAAGTCCTAACAGTGCACATGCACAATTGTTGAAACAATTGTAAACACCACAAACAATTGTAAACACCACAAACAATTGTAAGTTACACAGTGCTATGTGGCTTCGATAACAGTCTAAGTCCTAACAGTCCTAACAGTCCTAACGTTGCAGCAACGTTTGAAATTGTCAGCTTTAAAGCACATGCAAATTACAGTCATTGCATACTAAAGTTGAAATGAAAGTTGAAACAATACATGGTAAAGTAAACACCAGATGCAAACAGTCATTTAGCAACACCAGTGCAGTGCAAAACTGCAAATTACAGTGAACAAAAACAGAACAGTCATTGCCCAACTCCAAAAACAGTCATTGCTAAACACCAGTGCAGTGCAAATTACAGTGAACAGTCAACAATCATTGCTAAACACCAGTGCAGTGCAAATTACAGTGAAAAAAAAAGCCAGTGCACTGTACACAACTCCAAAGTTTGCCAAATTCTGCCCAACTCCAAATTGCATCTGTACGCAACTACACATTATAGACTTGACCACAATGCTTGAACCTAAAAATATATAAATCATAAGTTAGAATATAATATTTTGATGATAAAAAAACAAAACTACAAAAGTATTAAGTATATCACCAAACAAAATGAGTATTAAACTCACCACTCAAGATGCAAGTTCCAACTATACATCAAACAATGCTAGTAGTGCTTCCATTATTTTCCATATCTATAGATAATTCGACCAAAAAATGTCATACAAATGAAAAAGCATGATATATTATTTTGAACTAAAATACACGCAAAATATTAAAGCTTACCGAGCTCGAGTTCCTCAAGATACTTCAAGTCTTCTTCAACACTAATAGGATTGTTCTCTTCTCTAAGCCAATCTTGAACACAAATAAGAGCTTCCACACATTTAGGAGTCAATGAACTCCTAAATGAATCAAGAATACGGCCACCGGTGCTAAATGCGCATTCCGACGCCACACTAGAAATTGGAATGGCCAACACATCACGAGCCAACTCCGAAAGAATAGGAAATCTAGGAGCATGTGTTTTCCACCAACTCAAGATATCAAAGTCTTCACTAAAAGGTTCTTGTTCTTCACTAATGTATTTATCCAACTCCGATTTAGCACCCCCACCCCCATTGTCTTCCTTTTGTTTCTTCAAGCTAAGCTTAGTCCTTATTTTTGATGCACTTATAACACTCCCACTAGATGTATTAGATGTGTTGCTAGATAAAGTAGATCTAGATGGAGATTGAGGACAAGATCCAGTTGAATATTTTTTTAGATACTCTCCAAACAAAGAATTCATATAAGCATACACCTCAGCATTTATTTTCTTTCCTTTTTCCTCCCCAAAAAGTTCTTCAAGTGCTCCCTCAACATATTCAAATTTGTTACGTGGATCCAACACAGAAGCAATAAAAATCATTTTATTCATCTTTTCAGGCTCACCCCAATACTTCTTGAACTTTTCTTGCATTCGCTCAGCCATTTTTCTCAAATGCTCATCCTCACTAGCTAAACACATTTTCAAATGACAATAAAGTTCAGATACATCCTCAAAATGAGAATTACAAGTGACATAACGTGAACCTGAAACTTTTTTAGTTAGCTCGTGAAATCTTGCAAGAAACTCTATCACATTCCTCACATTCACCCAATCATCAGAATCAAGAGGACCTACACTACTACCATCTTCACAAACATGAGAACATTGATAAGCAGAAAATCCATCATCAAAAAGATGAAACTTGTCAAAGGCCATTTCAAATTTTTGTGCCGTGTCCAACATCAAATAGGTGGAATTCCACCTAGTAGGAACATCCAAACACAATGTTTTGGTACATTCTACCTTTACATGTGCACAACACTGTTTAAACTTTAAGGTCCTTGCAGGCGAAGATCTCACATACCTCACAACATTTCTAACACGTGTCACAGAAGCATCAAGTTCTTTTAAACCATCTTGCACAATTAGATTTAGTATATGAGCCATGCATCTCACATGAAGATGCTTACCACTCATCATATTAGTTTTTCACATATCTAACTGTTTAGACAATTCTTTAACTGTGACATCATTTGAAGAAGCATTGTCCACGGTAATAGTGAAAACCTTGTCTAATTTCCATTCAAGCAAACAATCCCTAATAACTTTAGCCATCTCTTCACCCTTATGACTAGTAATAGGGCAAAAATTTATTATTCTTTTATGCAACTTCCAATCCCTATCAATGAAGTGGGCTGTCAAACACATATAATTTATTCTTTGTAGTGAAGTCCATGTGTCTGTTGTGAGGCAAATTTTTGGTTGTGCTTCTCTAAAAGACTTTCTTAGATTTTGCTTCATTTCACTGTAAACTTCATAACAATCCTGTTATTGTCTACGAGAAGGAAGACGAAATAATGGTTGAGTTTTTCTCATAAACTTCATAAAGCCTTCATTTTCTACAAAGCTAAATGGTAGTTCATCAATAACTATCATCTCAATTAAGGCCCTCCTAACAACTTCTTGTTCAAATTTCCAAATTGATCCTTCGTCATTTTGGCAACCTTGAAAATTTATCTTTGTTTGACTATTATCTTTATCAATGTTAAGTGGGTATTCTTTGCATCTAAGCAAATGATTCTTCAATCCTGTTGTTCCATTCCTAGATGAATTAGCCGCATAGGCTTGTTTACA